CTGACTCCTGCCTTCTCACGGCCCTCAGCCCTCCTGCGACCTGCCCCCCTCCACCAGCCCTTCTCTCCCCCCTGTGCCCGCTCCTCCAGTAGCCCCACTCTGATCATGTGAGCTATCCCTCCTTATCCCCTCTCCTAACACCTCCCTCTATGCACCTGCCCTGCCTCTCTCCTCTGATGCTGGTCCCTCCCCTGCAGGTGTCTGCCCTTCTGCTTTACCCCCAGAATCCCCTGGCACCTGCACCTTCCCTTAGCCCTGCATCCTCCTGGTGCCTACCCCTTTGCCCTCTTTTTCCCTGATGCCCAACCCCTCATCACCCTCTGCCCCTGTTCCTCTCATGCCCCTGTGCCCTCACACATGCCTTGCTCCATCCCTATCCTCCTCATGCCCACCCCTTCTTTCAAGCCTTCTGTCAGCACCTCCCCTCCCCCCTCTAGCCTCCAATGCCCTTACCCTCTTCTCTCCCACATCACCCTGTCCCCCTCCCACTGACACCTCCCCTTCTGCCCTTTTCCTCATTGTCTCCACTTGGCCCCCTGGCATTTGTCTCTCCTCCACGCTGTTCCTTGGTGCCTTCCCCTTTCTTCTCCTGACCTGCCCCACTCCTCTCAGCACAAGCCCCTTCCAGTTTGCAGGGTGGCTGTAAGTGCTCCCTCTGACAGAGCCAAGCAGCCCAGAGCCCCCCAACCAAATCTCCCTCCCACAGAGCCAAGCACAGGAGGAACAGGTCAGGTAAGTTCATTTTACTTTTAAAAGAGGCTGCTCCTGCCGGCTGCCTCTGCTCGCAGTGCGTTCCAGGCGGCAGCATATGGCCCAGCTGCCAGCTCACTGATCTAGCATGAGGTGAGCCTACACAGCGTGCACTCCCCTCCCACCCCGGCGCCCCCCTTCGCTAGGCCTCTGGTGCTGGAGGAGGGGAGGGCTGGCAAGCACGTATGTGCTTCCTCCCACTCCTGAGTGCTCAGGCTCTTGTTGCCATAGGCAACAGCAGCCCGCAGCACGTGCGCGCAGGCAAGGGAGAGCCTGCGCAGCTTTCATTCCATCAGGGACGCTCAGGGGGGGTCGGGGCCCACTCCAGGCAGGGCCGGGGGAGAGACCCAGCTCCAAATATTGGTGGAGCAGGGCCCCCGGCTCTGAATATTCGTGGAGCACGGGCACCGCAAGCCCATATAACTCGCCGCCTATGTCCATTGGCACACTTGTGAAA